ACTAAAATACGTTAAACAATGCTATGTCTAAGTGGTTTTGAACTATATTCTCGCTGGGTCCCTGAACCTAGGAAATTAAGTGGGAATGTGTTACTCGGGTAGAGTCTGTGACGCGTACTGCAAAAGCGGACTTACTGAAGAGCATGCGCAGTTTACTATGAATTATACAAAGTGGAGTATCTTCAACTTAATTGAACAACGAAATAAGGACAAATAACAGGTGATTCTCTTGTTATTTAATGATATGGTTATAAGTGACCGGCTGTATACAGTGAATATAGGTTTTATTCTGTAGTTTAGTTCATTGTTTCTTACCATATTTCAGCTGAGAGCTGGGATTCTTGACGGAAGTTTAATTACATACAGGTCACTTGGATTTTGACTCCCGCGAGCTGAATATTTAAGACCTGATGGTTGGACTTTTCGGTTTCAAAATCTTCCTTTAAAGTCATATATATGGCTTTGCATCTTCTTGCCCAGTAGATTAGTAAAGATCACTTGACTTCAAGGCGACTCGCTAAGAAGTCACTCCGTTGATACGCTTTGAAGTTGTCTTCATGTCCACTCAATCCAAATTTCTTTCCCGTTTTTAGGATCATCTTGACGCGCGCTTGCCTCGAACAAACATGATTGCCCGCGTTTTATAATAACAGTCATGCTTTCGTGACGGTACCCGATATGACACAATAGTAAATTGGAGCAAGCACGTTATCACTCAGGAAGTCTTTGATAGCTGAAGTATTGTGTTGCGCGGAAAAGACCATGAAAGACCTATTAGCAGTGAGAAAGCAATGCCTTAACAAATAACTCAAATTGTTAACTCGCACAGTAATTAAGGAATTTATTTTATACTGCGGAGTCACACGCTCCATGTTTTGAGACGTAAGAATTAGAGACTCGTACAACATCAGTGGAGTTTTAATTAGGGAAACTGGCTGTGGTTCAAGAAGGCGATCAAGATTTTGCAAAGAGATTGCTCAAGGCAACTGCTCAGGAGAGCCTGAGTGAGGTCAATCAAACGCTTCAAATACAGACGAAAAAAAATGAAAGGTAACAAAGTCCTGAATACTACATAGAAACAATACGCTAAAGGAAAATTGAGGGAAGCAAAAACGAGACGAAGCGAAAAAGACTGACGAAAGAAAAATGTGGGTTTAAAGTAATTACAACATGTTACACGTTATTGTAAAATCCAGTGGAGTATTAAAGCGGGGCGATATTTTGTGCGGCTATTATTCCAGAGAGGCTGGTTTCCCTGCTTCTGATTGTGAAAAAATCCAAAGGTGGTGATTTCTTACGCAAACTCAGATGAAAATACCCTATTTTTATCGGTCTATTTGAGTTTTTAGCCCGTAGACCACAGTAAAACTGCTCATGGCGGTCTTTTGTCTGTTTTGTTTGACTTCCTTGCGCGCGGTCTTCAAACTTTAAAAACCCAATGGACAACTCAGTAAATACCGCCTTGTTTTCTTTGACCCTTTGTGCTGTCATGCTGTATTAAATCATCGCCGCAAAACTTAGCAACTAACTCAGCACAAATTAAAGGCAATTAACAACTGCGCTGTTCTTTTAAATTCAATTCCTTCGTATCTCAAAACGAAAAACTAAAACCGACGATGAGTAAGCCGGCTGCAACACAGGCTTGTAATATTTGATAAAAACTTCTGGATAAAGGGACCGGAAATGGGGTTGTCTTCCTTTAATCAGCTAATCATATACTGGACACAACAAATGTGAAAATTGCAGTCATTGTGTTAATAGGATCTACCGCGCCTTGTGCGAAATGCGCCAGTGTATTTTAATTATTTTAAAAAATGCATCGTTGCAGAGGATCAGAGCAAGCAGCCTCCAAACCATTCGCCGGGCGATAAGAGAAATGACAGAGAAAGGAAACCCAGCAGGAAGCGGAGACCCCGATGGACAAGGCATAACCAAATGGACAAATATTCGGAAAAACACAGACTTTGGGTTTCTAAAAACTCCATCGGGCTATGTAGAAGTTTTCAAAAATTAAAGAAAGCTTTATTCATTATTTTCTGGCGTCTTTTTGCATGTATCTCAGTGCTCGTTTGTACATTGACTAAGAAGATACATGGAAATTTCCATGTTCCTCTTTGCATGTTATCTGCGTAAAGGTACATGGAAATTTCTGTTATGCCCTGAGCACTAAATTTTAGCAGATAAAACAAAAAAGTGGTAGAATGTAAGGCATTTCTAAATGATGCTGCCATAATTGATTCCTTTACGAGGGCGTTTGGTAAGAACTTCATTGAAACAGCTATATTTTGCCAGAAAATCACTACTTTAGAAAATCAAGTTTAATTTTGGAACGTGTTATTGATTCCACTATTCTTTTTTCACTTTGCTATGTAGACTTTTTTATTTCCAGAATTTCGCGCAATAGCAAACGTTGTTGAATTTCAGCGATTTGTTGTTTTTTCATTACAATGTTGGTTATTCGACTGTAGCGTTTCAGATTTTTTTAAATTTGTTTCAAACACTGAAAAGTCGATCATGTTGAGGTCACCATTCTTTTTCACTTTTCTAGGTAGACTGTTATTTTCGGGATTTTGCGCTTTGATGGGAAATCAAAAGTGAAGTAGCCGAACTGGCGCAGCACACTAGAGACAAAAGTTAACCTCGAAATTGTCATTGTCTTCGCAGTATGAATTCGGCGGATGATGTAGTGATATATTTAACAATTATTCCACGAGTGCGCGTTGGATATGAGTTGGCTATAATCATCTCATATCCAACAAGCGCTAGTGGAATAATTGCTAAATATATCACTACATCATCACTGTAAAGTCGATCATGTTGAGTTCACCATTCTTTTCACTTTTCTAGATAGACTTTTTTATTTTCGGGATCTTGCGCTTTGATGGGAAATCAAAAGTGAAGTAGCCGAAGTGCGCAGCACACTAGAGACAAATGTTAACCTCGAAAATGCCATTGTCTTCACAGTATGAATTCGGCGGATGATGTATAGAGAATACTTCATGGAAAGTGCTGGCGTACGGTATTTACGCACGAGTTGTTGACGAATCAGAAATCGAACGAGTGAGCGCAGCGAACGAGTAAGATTTCTGATACAAAAACAACGAGTGCGTAAATACCGTACGCCAGCACTTTCCATGTGGTATTGTGTGTATTATATACATACTGAGACATTCATCATTTTGGCGGCCTTTTTATTTTAAATCTTTCAAAAATGCTAAAATTTTCCGCTACACAATTACGGCAAAATGACAACGAAAACGAAGTATCCGCTTTTTAGTAACAACGTTTGTTAAAAACATAAATGAAGGTGAGGATATGAGGTAATCCAAGAACTATAAGTAATCTTTACTGTTTGTTCTCAATGCACAATTAAACATGAGAGAATTTAAGTAAAATGGCCGGTAAAAGTAGCTCCGACAAAAAGCACAACAAAAGCTTACGTCTCGTTCTGTTTATCTCTTTCGGCTGTTGTTTCGCCCGCTCTCTACCGTTTTCTTTATCGACAGTGAAACAAACGAAACTATTCCATTCCATTTCCGAAATGTTTTTCACTTTTTTAGCGAGAAAAACTCTTTGAGTAAAACTTTTCTCGTTGAATGTGTGCAAAAAAAGCGGGGGTGCAAGCTGCAATAACAGGCGGGAATTTTGACGCGAAACTCACACACCTTTGTGGCTTCTGATTGCACGTATCATTTTTTTTCACGTGTGAAAACCATCGTTCGCTCCTCTGATTGACTAGAACTAATTTGCGTACGAAAATTTACGACATAGCTTTTTGGTGAGTCTCAGTAGGTATATAATAAAGTGATATATTTAACAATTATTCAACGAGTGCGCGTTGGATATGAGATGGTAGATAGCCAACGAGTTGGCTATAATCATCTCATATCCAACAAGCGCGAGTGGAATAATTGTTTTATTAAAAACGCCCACAAAATACCGAGAATTCTTCCCGATTTTCAGCTTGTTTTTAGTTTTGAGCAGACGCGTAGTTACCATATTTGGAGAGCATGGTATACTGGCTCATATACCATGATGGCTAAGCCAATCAGAGCTCTAGAATTGCATTATCCAATGATTCAGTTGCAGTCAATTTTTGTTTTTCCTTTGTTTTAAATTCATTAGAATACATTACAATACATTACCCTCGCGTCTTCTTCGCGTCCTCTGTCTCCTCTTGGACCCTCCTGCAATAATTGTTTTATTATTCATTCAAAATAATTCCTCGTTTAAAAACATGGCTAAAACATGCTTACCTCCATTGATCCGTCGATATTAAGTTGATCTTCAATAGTGCACGTTTAGGGTTGTTCAGCTCCGCAAATATTCCTCCAAATGCTGTTCTTGCCATGTGAAGTGTCCGAGTGAAATGTCCGCCATTTTAGTTTTCACAACGAAAACAACTCAACCTCGTCCCCAGGTCTTCTCGGTTAACGGTGTCTTAACCTGTAAAGGACTACATTTTGACGTCATTTCCTCGTTAAACACAAACTTCTACCAAATTTGGTCATCAGTAACTGGTTATGATGAATTATGGGTGTGCATTTATCCAATCAGAATTGGGGAAATATTTTGAATGAATAATAAATGAAAATAAATTCATTAAAATTTGAAACATGTTCTTATTTTCTAAAATCGATAAAAAAATAATTCTGTACACTTGGGTAAATAAACATAAGTCAACATTTAGGATCCTCTTTGGAGACATAGGTGCCTCATCACGCACTCCAACTGCAATGCTAATTTAGTGTGCAGATTTTGTATAAGGAACAGGCGAATACCACTAAATACTCTTAGCTACAATGTATTTTTTCTTTAGAAAATAAACCTATTTAAGAAACTACCCTAAATAACTTAAATTTGTAACTGTGCTAACTGTTATTTTATGTAAGTACCTGTTCGGCTATCTTGGGAAAATGCAGATTCTTAAAACGCAGGTTTTTACTGTATTCATCATTTTATTACTTGGAAATCTTGTAACCCTAGAATGCGAAGCTTGCAACGAGACTTACGTGGGTGTAGACAGTGGTGTCCTTCAGTCTCCGAATTTCCCGCACAATTACCCGAATGAGGCCTACTGTTCCTGGAATATCAGAGTCAAGCAATCACAGCACGTGTTTTTGATGTTCTCATCAAGTTTCAGTTTACAGGCTGAAAACAACACAGATGTCATTCGTGTGTACGATGGAGGGAATACCACAGGGGAGGTGTTGGGAGTGTTTTACGGAGGACACCCGCCCCCAAAGGGTGGACTCTATTCTTCAGCAAACCAAATGTTAGTTGTTTTTAAAACGGACAACAACAAATCTTTCTCCGGTTTCAAAGCTTCCTATCACGCCTTAACGTGTTCCGGTAAGGATGTTTCAGAACAACTGGCCTTCTTCTAGGCACAATGTAGTTTCCAATTCAAATTTTCAAAGGCAATAGGCCACTTCCGAGTTCCGAAAACCCTCACTTTCAAAATGAGGCCAAGTGCACAGCCATTCTTGTGAAATTGAGTTTTATTTGCATGAGAATGAAAAATCATCTCCACATCAATGGCTGAGCACTAGTCGTTTTGATACAGAGGCCCAGGGGAACTCGGATATGGCCTACCTTGCATTGCCATCAACCTCGAGGACAGGCAGAGGGAGCCATCTTTTTACGTAACTTCGCTCGGTAGCTTCAAGCCTTGACGAAGACTGGCGAGTGAAGGCGTTGTTTAAACTTCACTTTTAAACAAATTTTTAAATCGATGTAGATTATAAACACTACTTATCAACCGCGATTGACGTCCGAGATTACAGGGAAATCTCAGACCGAGGCCTTGATGTAATGGGGAGCTTATAAGCAACAAGGACGGCAACGGCTACGAAGACGTCACTTAAAAAATGAATTCGCGCTGCCTCCACTTTATCACGCTTATTCTGTCTCGTTTAATTCGTGAAATGTTGGCAGATTTTTTTGGAGTTAACTTCTAAAGGACTGTATCAAAGTTCAAGAAAGAAAAAGAAACTTGTTGTTGTGTGTTCCCGTCTTCGACAAAACTACGTGCAACGACAGCAAAGAAATGTACAATAAAGCGTGATGCACGTGCAGCATTGTTGTTTTGCTAATATAAACCTTTTGCTTTTTTGCCGTTCTCGTTGCCGTCGCCGTCTTCGTTGCTTAAGCTTCCTATTTATACATCGAGGCCTCGGTCTGAGATTTTCCTGTAATGACCAAACGGACGAGGTCAATAAGTTCTTTATTATATGGCCTTTTTAGCCTCTTTTTCTTTAAAGTTGACTTCCAACTCAGGGAAAAATCACTTAATCAATAACGTTAAGTCATAGCAGCCTAACATTGTCGACCCTTGCCATAGGGTACTTTGAGGTCTTGTCTAAGTGGGCTTTTCTATTGTTTGTTTCCTTGTTTGACATATATTTTGCTTGAAATATGTAGATCCTCTTGGAATGGAAAGCGGGGCCATTTCTGATGCTCAAATAAGTGCATCTTCACATGATACCAAGACCTGGCGAAGTGACTATTCTGCAAAAAAGGCAAGGCTAAATTCGAGACATTCGTGGAGTAATAACGGATGCTGGGCAGCGACTACAAATGATCTTCACCAGTGGCTTCAAGTGGACCTTGGTGGTTACACGAAAGTAACACGTGTAGCGACTCAGGGAAGTGGATACGGACTCTCAGAATGGGTGACAAAGTTTAAGATCCGGTACAGCTCTGACGGAGTCATATGGCAATTTTACAAAGAGCCTGGTAATGCGAATGCTTCAGCAAAGGTACGCTGGACTTGCTAAATATGGAGCTTAGGCAACGACGACAACAAAGAGAAATGCAAAAAAGCAATAGTTCCGGTTTGATTAGCAAAACAATAAGTTTGCACGTGTATCACGCTTTTTTTACATTTCTTTGCCGTCCTTGCACGACTACAACGTGAAAGTGCCTAAATTCATGTTTTGTCGAGGACGGGATCACAAGACAACAACTTTCTTTTTCTTTCCTGAACTTCGATACAGTCCTTTAGGCGATAAAGTTTGAAGCAGCATGAATTCACTTTTTAAGTGACGTTTTCGTAACCGTCGCCATCGTTGTTGCTTAAGTCCCTAATGAGTCCCTAATGCCAGTCGCCTCCCCCTCCCCCCCGCCTCTACTGTGGCAAAAACTGCCTCAGGCATATCCTTAGTGTTGTATGGGACGCCTAGTGATTTAATATGAAAGAAGAAGGTGAGGCAAATACTGAATTCAATAATGTTTCCAAACATAGCTGCCTTAATGGAGGGCCTCAATGGGGTTTACGGTCAGCCGTCAAATGGCCCAAAAATTGACCGTCAACAGTCAGAAAAGGTTATTTTTTACCGTCAACGGTCAAAAATGCAGGTTAAGGCATTCCGGGAGAGTCAGGAGTCCGGACCCCCCTATCAGACCTGAAGCTTGTTTGAGACTGAAATTCTTACATCGACTGGCTGGTTTTTTTAATGCATGGAACGCGCGTTGGATTTTGCCACTAAACTAAATTCCAGGGATATTCAAAAATGTAATTGTTTTTGGGTACCCTCCTATGATCTGTTCGCCTCGCAAAGCAGTCTTTCCCGCGCCAACGGCGACTGGCGTTCACAGATTGAGAAACACGTGGTCGTCTTTGTGAGAAGTGATTTGCCACAAAAAAGTTCAACAGTACTTTCTGAACCAAAGATTGCCCCCAGTCAAAAATTCCTTCATCCGCCCCTGGGTAACACAATAACAGGTAGATCTCTTTGTGGCATACAAGGTTAAGAATAGCAATTGACCGGAGACAAACCAGTTGGCTTTTTACAAGGGTGACCGAGGATTTGAACTCGGAACTACCGAAAACCAGTCCAGCGAGCGGTCAGCGCGGGCAATGAAAGCGGGCCTCCGGAATACAATTTCAGCGCTTTTAACTGCGGATCATTTTACGTTTCTGTGAAACTGCCCACCTACCTTTCCCATACACCAACAATAACACTTAGCTCTTACTTAGAGCAAAATGTTGGCTTAGGGGAAGGGTAGGCGGGCAGTTTCCCAGAAATGTAAAATGATCCTAACTGCTAAGCCGCCCTGCCTCTAGTCTGCTAGACAGCCGTTTTTAGTGCCGTCACGCAACGCTCCTCCCCAATGTGCAGAGTACACTGCATCAAAAGACTGCTCAGTATTGTCATACATGTAAGTGATTCTTTTTCCAGGTGTTTATCGGAAATTCTGGCGGTCCCAATAGAATTATGTATAACCGACTGAATGAACCCATCTTAGCACGATACATTCGAATCGTGCCTGTGGAATGGCATGACCACATAACGATGAGACTGGAAATCTACGGTTGCCAAGGTACTCTTTTACAATAATACAATAATTTTTATTAACTCTCCCAAAGGGCTATTCTGAAGTTAATTTACAAATGCTAAAAAGAAGGGGATAAGAAGAAAAAGCTTAAATTAATTACAATCTTAGTACAAAACTAAAAGCCTAAACTATGCGCGTACAATTACGTTATCTCTTTGGAGAACTAAACTAAGTCAAATATCAACTATTTAACGCATAGGGTCTGCACCTGCAATTCGCGTTTGAGGCTCCTCTTAAGGTACATAGGTACATTTGAAATCACCGGTGATCCCTGCAATCTGATTGGCTCTCAGCAGTATAATTTACTGACGAATCACACTATGTTTTGCTCTCAATCATATTCTAAATCGCAACATTTCTGTTCTAACTTGCACCATCTTTGCTCAGTACCGCACCATTTCTGTTTCGAAACAAAAATGGAATACGATGTAAAAGCCTTTTTGTTACCACTACCTTCAACACGGAAAAGTCAAAAAATTGCCGAAACCAAAATAAGATACCTCTCATATTACGTATCATTTAGATGTCTGTGTTATTCGTTATGTTTGGTACAGGGATAGAGTTGTAATAATATGATCAACTAATAAACCAAGGTATTATACAAACATACTAAAAAACAGTTGAAAAAGTTCAAGTCGTTAAATTCCAGTAGGCGTCAAACATTTGTCAATGAACACAGCTAATATGATTTAATCAGTTGATGTATTTAATCACTAACAGTTGTTGTTGAAAAAGAGACGTCCTTTTCATTTCCGGACTCAGATGTAGGAAATACAATTTATTTTTAATTTTGACATGAGAAGCAAATTTAACCCTTTAAGTCGCAAGAGTGACTAACATCAATTTTCTCCTAACAATACTGATACATAATCAAGAGAAAACTTACAAAAATTAACAAAATTAACATCAAAGGCAAAAATGCTTTGATCTTTAAACAAAATCTCACAACTAATTTTTCAAGGAAATGCATGTGTGGAGATCAGTCTGGAGAACTCGTATGCGGATATTGGATCTAAAGGGTAAAGTGTTTTTTGGTCTGAGACAAGAAATGGATTCCGAGACCCTAGCGAAACTTTCCACCCAAATGTTCTTATGTAAACCCTCCAGAGAAAGGCTGCTCCAAAGAAATGGCCCAGAATGGGCAAAGGAGCGACCATCGAATGTTTTATGATTTTAAGTCCTTGGGACACAACAATTATACTTTTCAAAGCTGAAAATCTATGACCTTTTTTATTATTAAAAACAGGTTGCATTGAAGCTCTTGGTATGGAAAGCGGAGCAATCACAGACGCCCAGCTTTCCGCCTCTTCACAAATGGGTGGCAGAGTTCTACACGCTCCCAGCCAAGGCAGGTTAAATTTCCAGTCATATAGCAACCTAGCTGGTGCATGGTGCCCTCGTTATAATGACCCAAATCCCTGGCTTCAGGTTGATCTTGGTAGTTACACAACGGTGACTCGCATCGCAACACAAGGGAGAAATGGATGGAATTGGTGGGTTACCAAGTACCGAATACTGTACAGTGATTATGGAATAAGCTTTCGTTACTACAAAGATCCATCGGACAATTCGGCCAAGGTAAACTATCTTTTTCAACCTTTATTCACTTAGCACTATTAAAATAGTATTTCCTTTTTTCAAGCCTTTAAATGCTCAGACATGCAGAGCACATATTATTTTTATGTCTCCTCCCCGGTTTACTAAAACACCAACAATAAACTCCCCTTTACTGCCAACAGCCGAGCTTTGCTTGCTAGAGCGCTTAACTTAGGAAACAAAGAAAACCGAGACTGTGGTCTGGGATTAAAAACATGGCCAAGTTAATGGCCGGTTTTATTTAAAACTGCAAAATCATCTTATCAATGTTAAAATATGAAATAATGTTTACGAATTTATAGGTCTAGCAAAGGTGAGGGCCAGAAGAAAAAGGCAACTAAACTACAAGAAATACCTAAAGCAAGTAAAATAGGTGGAAGATTGGGGCGGAGGCGGGTCGATTGCTTGTTCAAAGGATAAGCGGGTCAGCTATCGAAGATTCGGCTTGATGTCAGCTTTCAGACCGAGAGGATTAACGAAAGGTTACACCCTCTTATAAAGGGTCTCCGCGAGATAATGAGATCGAGGCTAAGTAAATTTACTGCGAGTGGCCTTATCATAGGAGCTCGTGATTATTACTCAAAAGTAATTTTACTTTTCGTCTTGTGATTCTCACGCGATCGTAAACCATTGTAAGATAATTCAAAGTTCACATTCGAGAGCCTCTAAGCCTTTGAAGCCGCAATCGACCTCACCCCCCAAAAATCCATGCATTGAAGAAATTGGAAGGGGAGACAAAATTTTTTATTTGGTTCCAAATAAGCTCATCTAAAACTCACTCAATTTACGGTTTGGTTAGATTGTAGGAGAACTAATGACTCACATCTTTACTACCTATCGTTTTTGAGTGAAGTTGGTGAGGCATTTTATTCAGTATGGCGTTTGCCTCTTATGCTTCGTCTACTATGGTTTGTTTTGACTTAGAAAGGAGTCAGATTTAGTATAGCTAAGGTAGCAAAGCTATCCTAAACATAACAATTAAAGCTAATACAGACGTTTGGAAACATGGAGACGAGAGTTCAAGCCTTGCCGTCGCGTTCTCATCGTAGACACAAGCCTTGGCTTCATTTTATCTCTCTTCACCGAGCTGTATAAATGGGTACTGGAAACATACTGCCATACCTTTTACAGGTGGAAAAACCGATCATGGCTGATTCTCGGAGTTTGAATTATTTTGGACAAGAAAATTAGAAGTACTCTGAATACCTGTATTAAATACTATTATGGGAAGCCTAGACTTAAGGTTCTGAAGTTGATACCAATGTTTCAAAGAAAGAGATAACTTGCTTGCGTTAAGTAAGTGCCCCGAGGTCCTAACAGACCTTCTTGTCAGTTAATCATTCGTCTTTCAAATGGAGGAAGTAAAGGATACAGGGACTAACTCAGCTAGGTGTTCGTTTTACCGAGGTGTAAGGAGGCAACTTAAAAAATTAAAGAAAGGCGGGGATCAAAGTCTAGGTGTCCGTTTTACCGAGTTGTCCGTCTAAAAAAGAGGCAACTAAAAGAAGTAAAGGAAGGCGGGGACGAACTCCAGGTGTCCGTTTAACCGTGTTTTTAAACATGCACTACTACATCTATACCAATAAACTACTTCTACAAGTACCCAAAATACACTTCCTACTGTACTTCTTGTCTTTCTTATAGAGGTGTCCGTTAAAAGATAGTCTCCCTCGCAGCCGTTTGTATTGTCGTCGCACAACGCTCCTCCCCACACTGGCTAGTTCAGACAGAATAGATTGTTATGTGTACTAACGTGAAGAACTGCGTCGTTCTCTTTCTAGATTTTTGACGGGAATAAAGACAAGGACACTGTTGTGTATAATCGAATAAATCCGCCAATTACAACACGTTTTATCCGCTTACAGCCGGTACAATGTAATAACAGGATGGCGATAAGAATGGAAGTTTATGGTTGTCCAGGTATACTTAGCTTGTTTTTAGTCCAGTTGTACATTATCATACACATTTTTGTTGAGTTCTTCGTATGTGATGATCGATGGTTAGCGGGGAGATGATCTTCAGACGTGTTGGACGATCCAAACTCCTTCGGACGAACTTAACTGAGCCAAACGTCGAACTTTTCATGAACTTACCTTATTGAGTTTGTTCCGTCTCATGAAAAGTTCGACGTTTGTCCTGGGCCTTAGCTCCGTTCCAATATGACTGATATCTTACAAGCCCTGTGCTTGTAAAACTTCGTAAGGGGTATTAGGAGGGCTAATAAACGGTGTGGGGTCATATATCGGGGAGGCTGACTTATATTATACTGGACTAAAACAGCGTTTCAAAACAAGCTACATAGCAGTTCTGGCAAAATGCTTTTTGAATGTACTGGCTTTTTGAAGCTTCAAAACGTCATTAAAAAAAACGTCGTAGTTAAAAACGCATCTTCAGAGTTCCCTACTTTCCCGTAATTAAGCTCGTCGATTTTTACCCGGAGGGTGGGGGTGGGTACTCAAGGGAAGTTTAGGTTGAGGTGTGACGCCGAGGTAAATTCTGACCCTGTTTAAGACAAAAAATGTTTATTGTTTCTTTAGGAGAGGGAGAGTTTATTTCAAACCTTGACTCATTTCGTTTTGCAAACAGAATTAAGTAATTTTCAAACTAAAATCCAAAATGGACGCCAGTTACGGTAGGTGCTCGATCTCGACGATCTTACGAAAAATTGGGGATTGCAAAAAATTACATTTTCGTATTTTGTGAATCCTAAATAAATAAATTAATTAATTGATCAATTGATTGATTGATGACGATACCTTTGTGGTTCACCTCGATGCAAGAGAGAATGATCTCTTGCTCGATGTGATTCTTTGTTTACCATTGCGGATCAAACTGGAAGTTACAAATGTTTGTTTCCGCAACACCAAGAATCACTTGTAATCATCGAGATGAGTCATTCGCTCAAATCAGGACGGCATTGAAAGGTTCCAATTCATAGGCAATTTTGTCGTTCATGAATATCCGCAACGATAAAACATGGTATACTATCGGGTAGGATATCCCTTAAAGTGCCTTACTCTTGCGAGCTGAATTTTACGCAACAGAACATAACAATAACCACGCAATAGACAGTTAAGAGTTTGTATTTAACAGGTTGCATAGCTCCTCTTGGAATGGAAAGTAGAACAATTCTTGATGCTCAGATAAGCGCCTCTTCACAAATGAATGGCAACCATTCTGCATCACAAGCGAGGCTGTACTTGCAAACAGATGGGAGCACATTTGGCGGCTGGTCTGCTCTCACAAATGATGTCGACCAATGGCTTCAGGTCGATTTCGGTAGCTATACGCTAGTTACACGGATAGCGACCCAAGGGGAGAATGGCTACAGCAACTGGGTGTCCAAATACAGGTTAAAGTATAGTGATGATGGTAGTACCTTCCAGTTTTACAAAGACGTCGGAAGCACATCTCCAAAGGTACTTGGTGATCAGCATCAAATTTCTCCTTGTTATATCAATGCTTTTTAAGACAGAGTGGTCATGAGAATTACGGACATGATCACAAGATGTATTTGCTTGATATTTTATCAACTTCTCCTCACTGCTTCTGTAGGAAATTAATAGGGGCAACAAATGAGAATTCAAATTGTGATCTTAGGGTTTAAAAGGTTAACAAACCTCACGATGTGGTCCATCCGACCCCTGCAGACCTAGAGTCAGACTCTATCAACTGTTACCCTCCTAAAATTGATTTCAATACAGTAAAAACCCCGTTAACACGAACACTGAAAGGGGGGGGGGGATTCAAAACGCCGGTATCAAAAATGTAAGGAATGGCTTTCCCTAGGAAAAAAACAAACTGCCCGTAATACTTAGATGTCCTTATGCAGCGGGTGTCCCCTTAAGCGGGGTTCGACTGTATATTAATTTATTATCTTTCGGTTAGAACGGTAATTTACATTCACCATTTTCACATAGACAATAATGCATCTTGTTTACCCCCCAAAATTTTGCAAAACCATCGTTTTCAATTTCTCCTGGGTATTACAGTCGTCCAAAGAGAAATCGAAGACAATGGTTATGCAAAATTGTGGGAGGTTAACAAGGTGCATTATGGCCTATGTGAAAATGGTGAATTGCTCGTTTTATTCTCGATTATTCAGTTTTAAAATCGATCTCCAAGGTTTATTATTAAAACACAGTTTTATCGTAACTTTCAGGTGTTTAACGGTAACACAGATAGTGAAATGGTTGTGTACAACAAACTTCCCATACCGATCAAGACCCGCTTCATTCGTCTTTTGCCAATGCAGTGGAAAAATCAGATTTCAATGAGAATTGAAGTGTATGGTTGCCCAGGTATTAAACTGATAATGCTTGAAAAAATTGGTCTGTTTTACAACAGAGTGGGCACTTTTTTTCTGCACAAACATTCGCCATTAGGAAATAGCGTATACTTGTTTAGCCTGTGCCGCGGCTCTTGGTCAGTGCGGACGAGCGAAAATATCGGGCGAGCAGTGAAAAAGCAAGCGAACGAAAGACAGTGGGAAGAAATGAGGGGAGAGCCTGTAAGGACTTTACAAATACCACGGTCTGTCCACTACCTCGCCCACTTCATGAAAAACCGTTTCTCGTGTTAAAATGTTAAAATGTTCCCGCGCTTGCTATGTATTTTCTTTGTCTCTGCGTGCGGAAACCAAGCGATTGACGCGTGATTGACATAAACTGCCAAAATTGACCAATCATAGGGTATACCAGGAGCTGGAATGTCAGGTATTGAAAACAATGCTTACAGACCCCACTTACCTGTCTCTCTAGCTTCCCCGCGGTTTTCGCGCAGTTTTTCTCCATGCGCTCTCCATACTATCTCAGAGTCTGGAACAGACCTATACTTGTTTCTTACAGACGTTTATGGCGTGTTTTGTTCCACTTTGTCGAACTTACAGGTTGCATAGCACCTGCTGGCATGGAGAGTGGAGCGATCTCTGATTTCCAGATAAGTGCTTCTTCCAAAAAGACCGATAGTTTTGCGGCAAGTCGCGCCAGGTTAAATGTGAAAGTGACCGGAATTAAGCAAGGAGGCTGGTCGCCTTTAAAAGACGATCTTAATCAATGGCTCCAGGTGGATCTTAGTAGTTATACCACAGTAACACGTCTGGCAACACAAGGAAGGGATGGATCAGATGAGTGGGTCACCAAATTCAAGTTGCAGTACAGTGTTGATGGACTAATATATCACTTTTACAAAGGAAGAGGAGAAAGCTCATCAACGGTACGTTAATCGGATCACTTTAGGTTCTGGGAAACTGACCACCTACCCTTCCCCTAAGCTAACAATCGAAATTCCTTGAATTTTTTTTTTGTGGAATCCGGAATCCCGCTAACAATTGGAATCCGAAGTCCAAATTCCTTTGTTGGTTCTTCCGTTGCTGGAGAGGTTTTTCTCCGGTTTTTCCGTCTCGTAAAAATCCAACACTTCCAAGTTTCAATTCGATATAGAACTCACGGACACGTTTAAATGAATTCTTAAGAACTCCTAAGGCCTTATAGCAGTCACGAGATTTCTTAATTAGCTTTTCTTGCTTTAGATTTTTGATGGAAACCAAGATAGTAACACCGTTGTGTATAACAAGTTGAATTCGCCAATCATGGTACGCCTGGTTCGGTTATTGCCAATAGAGTGGCGCAATCATATATGTCTCAGAATGGAGATCTACGGTTGTCCAGGTAAGTAAGCAGGTTAACAGTTATTAAACTGCTACTATCAATTAAACTATATACGCTGAAGTCAACGCACATTTTGGTGGGTCAGTACCTGGGATTAGTCAAAGTACAGATGCACGGATCACATTATGGAAGCTTTTTCAACTGTTTCGTCCCACATGCATGATCATTCGCCATGTTCTAAAAGAGTAAAAGAAAAAGCCGGGTACGATATACGACCGCAAAGTTTCTTGGGATCGTTTGGAGGCACAACATGAAAGTCAACAAACATGTCGTAACGCTACATGTCGTTACAAACTGCAATGATAAGTTAAAAAATACAACTATACTTTACTCATAATGTACCACAGAGCTCCCAAAGAGCCTAATGTACCAACTATGTCTCCTTCAGTCAGAGTAACCTTCAGAGCGTTTTTAAGAGGTGACCTGCTGCTCTCCGCCACGTTTTTGCTCTGTATTTATATTATCCGCTGTTATTACTTTGATCTGTAACTATATTGTCCTACTGTCAAGGGTCCTCTACCATAATGCTCCAAAATTTTAATTTCTACTTATCGTTATTGACTTTATTACAGGTTGTGTAGCTCCACTTGGTATGGAAAATGGAGCAATCTCTGATGTCCAGATAAGTGCTTCTTCTCAGTGGGATGACAATCATGGTCCACATAGAGCTCGATTGAATAGGAGAAGTTTCGGAAACAAGAAGGAAGCCTGGAGGTCTTTAAACAATGACATTTATCAGTGGCTTCAGGTTGATATTGGGACATATACCACAGTGACTCGCATAGCGACTCAGGGCAGAAGTGATATGAGCCAATGGGTTATCAAGTACAGGTTACAGTACAGTGAAGACGGAGTGAACTTCCATTTGTACAAAGCACTAGGACAAGATTCAGCCAAGGTACGCCCAGTTAGTCTTCTTTTCGACCCATGTTAGGTCACCCGGATTCCCGAATCCGGCAAGTTTTTACACGTAGAATCAGGAATCCTGGGAATGCAAGCTCAAGGAATAAGGAATTCTGTGTTTTCACTTACGTGGCCAGCATCTATGCAAATTTATAGGAACAAACGAAAGGCTTTACATAAGAAAAGAGTTCAACTCCCACAGGACTGGTTTGGGACACAAACTTGGCCGCGATTTCATTGTTTTGGGACACAAATATGGCCGCCATGACGTCATGTGAAAACACACAATCAGGAAACCAGTAGCTGAAATGAGGAGTGCAGAGTGTGAAATCCAGAATCCAAAAAAAATAAGCCCCTCCAAATTTAAGCCCCAACAAACTCGTAACGCAAAAAACCCTCCGTTAAATCGCCCCTCCAAATATAAGTCCCCCGGGGGCTAGTAGTTGGAAATTACCAGCAAATACAAAGTAAAACAAAGCAAAAACGGAAAATTCCTTCAAACTATAAGACTAGCCCAATCGATTTTGAAACGCAACTTTCCCTTCATAGATAAGCCCCCCTGAATAAAAGCCCCTCAAAAAGGGCCTTTGAGAAATATAAGCCCCTGGGCTTATTTTCGGAATTTTACAGTACCTTACATGAGGCGATTTCCTCTCTACGTTACTTGATATTCTCTTTTAAATACCATCGAAACATAAATGACAAAAAATCTCTTTCTATTTTTACTGTTTTTATTGATTAGCCTGAATTTCAGCCGTTTCAACTAGTCGCAAACTCCCAAGAAGCTCTCGGGAGTTTGCGACTCGAGGAGACGGCTGCCATTCGGGATAATTATAAATCTGCTAGCTTCAAGAAAATTCATTTACAGTTCAAAAGTTTCGAGTCAATGATAATTAAAAATACATCGGTCCGTAAAATTATTGTTTACTATGTTTGGATAGTTGTTTGATGGAAATGGTGACAGAAATACCATTGTTTACCAAACATTGAGCCAGCCAATCAGAGCACGTTACATCAGGATACTTCCGCAGGCTTGGTACGGACACATATCAATGAGAATGGAACTCTATGGCTGTCCAGGTATTTTTTTATTCCCCTATTTCAGGATATTTCAACTCGCGACCTTAACACCATAATGGAATCCCAAGTCATATACCATAACAAACCGATATTGCAGAGGACCTCGCGAAGTTTTTTTTGGTAGCTAAGAAAATTTCTCCGTCGGAGAAATTTTGGTAGTCACGTGACCTTACGTCCGTCCGTCCACTCGTCCATCTGAACTACAGGGTAACCAATATCACACTTTCTACCAATGTGGGAGCCCTCAACCTGATTTTCGACATCCATGTTGTGGTCAGTTGACGACTGTCGAAACGGGGTATCCGCTGACCATTATCACATGACCATATCGCGGGCTCAGGTGTTGGCCCATCGGGGTAAGTGTTTGTTTTGAAGTTATCGGCTTTCAAGTTAGTATTTTTCAACTGATCACATGCTCAAGTCCGAGTGGATTTCTTTGAATAGTTACAAGTTTATTGTTTGAAGCAAACTTTAAATTTATCAACGAGAGCTTTGCCTTTAGCCTTGGCTAAATCTATTTATTAGTTCAGCAGAGCATCCCGTCTTTCTTAGACGTTTCGGCTTTGACCTTAGTCTGCTACACAGCCGTCTTTAGTGTCGTAACGACACTAAAAACGGCTATGTAGCAGACTACTTTGACCCCTGATGTACCAGAGCGAGACTGATTTTGGAAATTCGACAGGGGCGTCTCTATCTCGTGAAGAGTTCTATTCTTGTCAGATCAGGAGGTTTCCCAACTGTGCACTGAGCTTTTAATTATTTCTCTGTTTTACAAGACTTTTCTGAATTTATCCAAAAGTCTGAGAGTTGGCTTTTACTGTTTCATCATAGACTATCCGTTACAAAATTAATGCAGTATCTAACATAGGTTCCTTTTACTGATCTGTTTCACGCTTAGCCTGTGAAGCGCCTCTTGGCATGGAAAGCGAAGCAATTGCCGATTCCCAAATAGAAGCATCTTCTCAGCTGGATGACCGACATTCTGCAACGAAATCCAGATTGCATTTCAAAACAGACGAAAGCAAAGATGGAGGCTGGTCATCTCTCACAAGTGATGCCAACCAGTGGCTGCAGGTGGATTTTCGTAGCTATGCTACAGTGACACATGTCGCGACCCAGGGAAGACACGCCCACCATGAATGGTTACTTAACTACAAATTAAAATATAGTGATGATGGCGTGACATTCCAAACTTACAGTGTGCCAGAAACCAAACTCTCAAAGGTACGGTTCTCTCATGAGTAAAGGCTCTTTTTTCACGGTTTTTTCAAAAGAAATTACCCTCTTATACTCCTTCTATTTAACTATGAAGCTTGTAGTAGATTAAATTAAACGATGTCTTCTTTTCATTTGGATTGGGATGCGTACGTTTTACTCGATTGAAATAGCGCCTCTCAAGAACTCCTGTTATCATGCATTTTCCACCATGTACCTGGAAACATTCCGTGTCCTCCGAGTTCTGTCGACGTAAGTACACTGTAAATGTTTGTTATCACCGTTTAGGTTTTTGATGGAAACGAAGACAGTGATAGCGTTGTGACCAAAGAATTGAATCCACCAATCACAGCCCGCTTTATACGGATCTTACCAACCAAGTGGAATAACCGGATTTCCACGAGAATGGAGCTCTATGGTTGTGCAGGTATTCTGAAGTAATTTCTGAGACTTTTTTCAACTTAACAGAACCTGTTGACAGAGTGTTTTTTTAATTCTTCACTTGCTTAGAAAACAGGACATATCGACTACAAGGCTCATTGAACTAAATTTTCCCCTTATATTTTTAAAACATACTTGAAGCAGCCGCTCGCTATTTAAGCCACAAGGAACGCACTCTTAGTCTAGGCCACTTCTCTAATGAACTGAATAATAAGAAAAAACAAGTCTACACGTTACAATCCAAACCTATTCTACATTTCGTCTATTGATATCCCTTGTTATATTTATGATCAAGCCTGCTTCGCCCCACTTGGAATGGAAAATAATGCCATTTCAGACGGCCAGATAAGCGCCTCTTCACAAGCAGATGACGATCATGCTGCAAATCAAGCCAGATTGCATGCTAAGATAAGTAGCGGCAAAAGCGGTGGCTGGGCTGCTCTCAAAAATAATCTTAACCAATGGCTTCAGCTGGATCTTGGAACTTACACCAGAGTAACACGGGTGGCCACTCAGGGAAGAAATTCCTTTAGTGGATGGGTGACCAAGTATATGTTACAGTACAGTGACGATGGATTCATCTTTCGGTATTACGAAGAAGCAGTTAACACCTCGGCAATGGTAAGTCTTTGCTCGCGTGCGTAAATGTTAAATCTCGAACACAAAACTTGAAATGATCAGTCCTATTCGTTCCAGTGACAACTCCATCGTTTCTATCAAATAAACCTGAACACTAAAAGTACGTCATGGTATGCCTTTTTTTCCAGTGGGAACTCGACAAACTTTTATACAAGGAGGCACCGCCCCGAGGTCCAACCCCTTACCCTTTTATTCACCATTTTTGATGGAAAAGGTACCCCATTGGTACAGTTTCTATTGACAAATGATACCCCTTTCACATACCTAACTCAGAACGAAGATTGCAAAAAAGTCGGTTTTTCTCCTTTAAAATCGATTTTTTAAGCCACCCACATGAGATTTTCGCACGAAGCACACAAGCCTCACAAGCCCATAGCGCTCAAGGACTTTTCTTTGACCGTTCTCGTGTTCTTGAACCACGCAAAAATACGGGTTGTTTTGCTGGACCAGTGCTGAACACAGCGATATCAAGGACGACTGGTTGGTTCCCCACTTGTATCAATGATATTTACAGGTAACTGTCAATAACAGTCCTATTCAGGACTACGTTCACCCGGACTATATTACTCAACCTACTTATGAAATTACTCCTGGTTTCAAACCTTTCACAGTTGCTTATTACTTTGATTATACTTTTTTAGATTTTTGTTGGAAACAAAGACAGCGACACGGTTGTGTACAACATTTTAAAACCACCAATCACAGCACGCTTCATTCGAATTTTGCCGGTGGAGTGGCACAGTCAGATATCGTTGAGGATTGAAATTTATGGCTGTCCAGGTATTCCGACATGTGTCAAAGAACAATAAGTCATAACTAATTATTTATACAAAGAGCCTGTCTATATTGTTTCCCTGTTAGCCCCATTATCGACTTGTCATAGTATTATGCAATATCGGTAGAATCTGGTTACTTTGACAGCAAGTTCTCTTCTCCTTCATTCTGACGCTTTAATGATCCTCACCACAGGGGGCCCACACAATCTGTTTGTGCAGCCGATTGTTATTTTAAAGTAAATGTACTGGATTTACCGTTTGCTTCACCTATATCGCTATGTATATAAATCAATGATAAATAAACGTTGAATTACCTTACCTGTGGTATATAGTCGTCCTTTTACCTCAAAAGCGGTTTTTTGAGCGATTTTGAAGGAGTTTGATTTCGCCGTTGACTGTTCCTTATAATAGAAGGACAAGGGTGGAATCCATGTTTTGAAAGGGCTCCAGTGTCGGAGCGATTTTTTTCCCCAAAATCGCATCGCTCCGCTTTCTAACTCCGTAGCAAAAGGGTAGAAAGATTCACGTTTCTCCTCGTCTCCTCCCCAAAATCGCATCGCTCCGCTTTCAAACTCTGTAGCAAAAAGGTAGAAAGATTCACGTTTCTCCTCGTACCTTCCGATCGAAAATCCATCCAAACAGCCCGGAGCTAGCCGTCGAAGAAAATTAAAATCCCACAGTATTCGAGCGGCAGAAATGCGTAGCGAGATTCATACGTGCCAGCCACAAACCGTCCCGCTGATTGGCTTTTTTTTATTGGATGTCGTTAAACAACAAACACTTACCAAGTCTTCTTCATCAGTTATTATTTAACCATTTGGTTAACGACATTCAATAAAAAAAGGCAATCAGAGGGACGGTTTGTGGCTGGCACGTATGAATCTTGCTACGCATTCCTGCCGCTCGAATACTGTGGGATTTTAATTTTCTTCGACGGCTAGCTCCGGGCTGTTTGGATGGATTTTCGATCGGAAGGTACGAGGAGAAACGTGAATCTTTCTACCTTTTTGCTACGGAGTTTGAAAGCGGAGCGATGCGATTTTGGGGAAAAAAATCGCTCCGGCACTGGAGCCCTTTCAAAACATGGATTCCACCCTTGTCCTTCTATTATAAGGAACAGTCAACGGCGAAATCAAACTCCTTCAAAATCGCTCAAAAAACCACTTTTGAGGTAAAAGCTAAGGACGACTATATACCACAGGTAAGGTAATTCAACGTTTATTTATCATTGATTTATATACATAGTTAGCGACATATCGCTATAGGTGAGGCAAACGGTAAATCCGGAACATTCACTATAAAATAACAATCGGCTACACAAACAGATTGTGCGGGCTCCCTGTGTCCTCACCTAGTTTGTACCAGATGGTGCTCTAATTTGACGGCGCTTCTATTTGTTTCTATAAAAGTGTTTGAAACTGAATTTAGGAAATTAGCTTCACTTTAGCCAAAGATTACCAAGATGTTTAGACAGATGATTAGACATATTCATGCATTTATTCAGGTTGTGTAACATCACTTGGAATGGAAAATCAAACCATTTCTGATGCCCATGTAACAGCCTCGTCACAAATGGATGACACCAATTCCGCACGAGAAGCCCGATTGCATTCTAAGTCAATTGGGAACCAAAGAGGTGGCTGGGTAGCTCTCAAGAATGATCTCAACCAATGGCTTCAAGTGGATCTTGGCACTTTCACCAGAATAACACGTGTGGCAACTCAAGGAAGAGATGGGTATGATCAGTGGGTGACCAAGTACAGGTTACAGTACAGTGATGACGGAGACATCTTTCACTCTTTCAAAGTGTTGGGGGTTAATTCAGCGAAGGTATGGCTGTCAAGTTTTTGGCAGAACTCATCTAGTCCTCGAAGAAATTTGTGAAAATCCTATGAAAGCGCAACCAGCTCACAAATCAATATTGCAACTTCGAGATTTGTTGATTTATAGCTTTCTGGAATTTTTCCTATATTTAGGTTTTTACCGGGAATCAGGATAACGGCACAGTTGTTTACAACCCTCTGAGTCCACCAGTCACGACTCGCTTCATTCGGCTGATTCCAGTGGGGTGGCATAGTCGCATATCGATGAGAATAGAGATCTATGGCTGCCCAGGTACTGAGGAAGATTTCATATAAATAATGCAATGTATTTCCCCTTTGGTTTTGCTGTTGCCACTAACACTTTCATCATGCCATTACCTGAAACATTGCGATCATCATCCCAATCTCGCCTCATGTAAAGTAATCCGAATTTCGGAATCCTGGAAATTTCGCTTGTGGAATCCAATATGTTAAGGGGACTGAACACAGTTTTGCGGCGGTAACTCGCGTAACCGCACCTGTTCTAAATTAGACAAACAAACGTGGCGGCGAAAAAAGCAATGGTACACAGAGGATATTTGGCAGAATTTTCACTTTTATTGTATTGTAGCAGTCCGGGCCACAACCAGATCTGGATATATGATGACGTCACCCACATTTGCAAAATGGCGCCCACGCCGAGAAACACGAGGGAAGGTCACTTCCTGGCTCTTTGCTGGGCCTAGAAGTGTCCTTTCCCCATACTACTTTGAGAGCTGTGACTTTAGACAATGAGAAATCAGGGGTGAGAAGAAAAAATGCCGTCCGATGAACGTTTGTACGTTCTTGGGAGGTAAAACCACCGAACACGAGAGTTTTTCAGCTCAAAGAAATGCCCGACAAGGCGCAAAACATCGAAAAAAAGAAGGTGAGTGTCATTTTTTGGACCTTTGGAAAAAAATTTTTTTTAATCTACATAAAAATTGCTTGTTGATAGTGGTCTGTTTGGTGTAGTGCAAAGCAGTTTCACATAGTGCTGTGCTTTTAAAGATGCAAAAGTCAGTTGCGCAGTTAACGTGCGGGTTTTTGTAACGCCATGTTTATTTTATGTTATTTTGCAGTCGGATGGAAAAGCACCTTGGTTTTTTGGAAAGAAGATGCCGTTTGTGTGGGAAAACTTTCGACGGGAACTTTTGAACTTCTTTGGCGTAGATATTGGGCTGGACTCCACAGAAATCCATCCACAGAAAGTGTGTTCGACTTGTAGGAGAGTCGTTTATCATTTAAATTCGGGTAACTTGGACCCCGAAACCTCTGAAGGGAGAAAGCAAGGGATAAAACTGTTTCTGTGGAAGGAACACTCCTCAAACTGCTATTGCCTGCAAAAACTCAAGGGAAGGCCTTCAAAGAAGGAATTATGCAACAATGCAAACCAGTTCAATTTTCGATTACTGAATTAAAATGTCAATGCTGACAATATAATAAGAGCATTGGTCATCCCTGGATAAGCCTTTCATTTCAATGAAATAAATGTACACAGATTGAGGTACATAAAAAAATGCCTGTATTTTCGATTGCTCATATAATTTTTTAATTTATTATTATTTATTTGTTAGTTTACTTTGTCTTAGGTTATGAGGTGCAAGGTAGAAAATGTGAAGAATGGCTGAAAATACACTTTAAACAGGACACCAAATGATCGATCTTACAAAACTGTTCCATATTTCATAATTACAGTCAAACCCCATTGATATGGACACTGAAGGGGCCATAGGAACTGTCTTTATAACGGAGGTGTCCATATCAAGCAGGTCCTGTTATAAAAAACAAAAATACACTTTTTTATCGAAATACTACAGCATCACACCGAACATCTTTAAACATCACTAAGCTCTTATTCTGCAGACTGTGTCCATGAAAACACACGGAAGTCTCGAGAAAATCGATCAAAAATTATGTAACATTTACCAACTCGATTGATGTCAAAATGGTCTATTATTGTTGTGCACAATTCATTCATTTTGGTGTACCATGATGCTGGGAACATGGACATGACGTCAATTAAGTGTAAGGATTTTTAACCTACAAAAAAAGAGGTTGACTACAGCACACAATGGACTATAAAGTGTGCTGATTAGCGAGGTTGACTTTATCTGAGAATCTGTTCATTGAGGAAGAAAAAAACGTCCATTATCCACTTTAACAGGTCAGTCTGTATTAAGTGGGTTGAATAAAGAGAAAAATTAAGGGTTTTCCCCAGTGACCAAGGAAACTTCCCATAATAACAGGGAGTCCACATTAAGCTGGTGTCCGTAAAGAGGGGTTTGACTGTATGATACAGGACAAACACAATCTAATAATAATAGAGGCTTAGTGCTCACTAAGTTTTTCAGTGTGTATGTATTCAACCTACAGTGACAGGATATTACTATAATCGCATAGTTTTTACACTAAATCAACAGAACTCAGAAAACCAGGCATTGGTTGGGATACAAGACAGCCTTTATTAATCATAACAAAATACAATACATGGTAAATAACTAAAAGGTAATATTTAGTATAAAAATAAAGTGCTCCAACAAATAAGAAAGACCAAATTAAAAAAGAATTAAAACAACCTCAATCAAATAATAAAAGTAATCACACTGTCCATGAATAGAACAAAATAAAACCCAACAGGGAGGGAGAGAGGGAGGGAAATGATTGCTAGTGCAATAAAAGTGAATGTTGCTACTGCAATGCCAATGCAAGTGAGAATGTGACTAAACTAGAATTGTATCCGTCTGTAACCCATATTACAGTCGTGGTATTCCTATCTACCGTAAAACTACTATATCCTAGGTAGTAGACAAATGGTATTATGAAATCTCTCATGCCAAAAAACTACTGTGATGCTGTACTAGCCCTGCATCCCAATGTGACACCTTCCTTGGAGAATTAGAACCGCATCAGTCGTCTCAACTGATGCACCCCCTTAATAACAATAATTTAAAGGAACAAATTTTTTTAAAAAAATATAGAGATATAAATATATATTACGTTTTCTTGTCTTGTGAAAAACCATTCTATTAAATATTTTGACACCAACAATAGTAAAGTCTGCACATCTATTTCATTTGTCAAAGCTGTTTTTCAAAATACAATTGTCAAATTATGTTTACGTCCTCTCAGTGACTATTTAACAACTATTAGAACACGAATACGTCCACTTGCATTATTTTCATCCGCAATGGGGTTTTGCAATTTGCAATAAGCAAAGACAGAAGTTCGTTAATGACTGCTTACGACTCTTCACGAGTGCAATTTCTACAAATTTTATTTATTTCTTTGACCTTCGCATATTTCCAACATGTGTGACGATTCAATATACTGGAAATTTATATACAGCAAGAATAATTAGCATTAAGATTATCATTATCAATCCTTCGATCGAAATTAGATTTTAGCGCGTATGGTATTGCCCCCGAAGTAGAATAGAACAGACTTCTCCAGGTCTAAACTGTGCTCGCAGAAATTTCTCCAAACAGGACTTCTTAAAACCTTTCTACTTACAATGTATCGCGGTATTCAAATTCCCTATTCTTCCAATTCGATCGGAGTCGTCGAGTTGTTTCTGGTCTCTTGAAATATTATCAGAAATCCACGGGTGTTTACAAAAAGCGTTCTCGATCATTAACATCTCGATATTCGTAAATCGAACGTTATGACGCATAAAATAATCTCGATTAATCCGCTCCGTATTGCTGTTGCTTTTCTTCAAGGTACATTCCACCCAAAGCACTCGCAGCTATTTGCTTCGAAGTTCCCTGTTCGACGTTTCTGTCGAGCTTAGTGTAGCTACAGCAATTAGCCGCACGTTTAACTAACTTATTTTTTATCCGAAATCTTTGTTTTCTGCACGCGCACGCTAACGCAATTTGTAGATCTAACGAGAAAGTTCTTTCTAACGCAAGCTAGCGAAAGCGCCACGCAATTTTGTTGTTAAAAGGTTAAGTTTTCTGTTTTTGCGATTAGTTGACGCAAGTTCTTGTCAATCCATTTCAAGAAGCCAAGAAGTTTTCCTTGTTCTAGTGATTTTAAGGACATCACCAAGGTAAATATTTACGCTACATTTTCTTATTTAAGTAAGCGCCTCGTAATTTTATCCTTTAAACCGATTTTATTTCTGATTGCATTGTAAAATCAAGTTTTAAGATTTTAGACGAAGTTAAGTTTACACACGACATCATTTACCGTTATTTGGCAATCTTAAGTTTTTACCTTTCCGTCTTGTTACTTTCACGGATGAAATGTATGTATTTCCGTAATTTCACAACCTTATTTGTAAAATACTCTTACCTTTATTTTAGTTCTCACGGTGTTTATGGAAGTAAGGTTAAGAAAAGAAATAAACATCAGTACGTGAACGAGTGTCATCTCATATCTTATCACTGGAGCAATAGTGAGAACTTGATGTACCACAGAAGATCGATCAAGCGAAGATCCGAAGTGGGCAAAACAAGCAAGTTCAATCAAGGTCAAGTCAAGTCAAGATCAAGGTCAGACGTCCGACTAAAAATAGTTTCTCAAGTCAAGTACTGACGTTCAGCGCAGCGACAAATCACAGGCCAAGTAAAGTACAAGTTAAGAAGCTCTGTTGCAAGAACGTTATAATTTATACGGACACACAATAATAAGAAGATTCTGCATGTAGTAGTTGCAGAAATAAGTTTAAGTAATTGATTACATTTTAAGTCAAAGTGAAGTACTGTCACACCACGGGTGTCACGCATAAATAGCTTAAGTAGTACAGGCGCTGCCTGAAGTATTAAGTTTTAAAGTTCAAGTTTAAAGAAGTTACAAGAGATTACTCTAACGTATTAAGGTTTATTTAGACCTAGAAATGTCTAGCTCAAGTGGGGTAACAGAATTTAATGCTGCAGAGAAGTTATCGTTACCTACAGAAGGCGTAGTTCAAGTAAACAGTAATCTATCAGCAGTAGATAATAATAATGTAAATAGCATAGTCGCAGATTCCATCCAAGAGCAGCAAACTTACTTATAAGAGTTGGCGGGAGGCTGGAAAATTCTACCTTGCCATTTGATGTCAAACACCCAATTATCCTACCAAGATGTTCTCACGTAACCGAGCTGATTATTGATCATTTTCATGAGAAGGTCAAGCATCAAGGAAAGGGAATGACGATGAACGAAATTCGTTCCTATGGAATATGGATACTAGGCCTCAATGCCGCAGTAGCCTCACACATTTATAAATGCGTACAATGCAGACGACAGCGACGACCAACAGAAGGCCAGAAGATGGCAGATCTCCCTGAAGATAGAGTGGAATCTACTCCACCCTTTACATACTGTGGAATGGATTGCTTTGGGCCGTTCACAGTTAAGGAAAGAAGAAAGGAACTGAAGAGATACGCAGTAATATTCACCTGCATGAGTTCTCGAGCAGTGCACATAGAGCAGCTAGATGACATGACAACCGATGCCTTCATCAACGCGTTAAGATGCTTCACAGCAATTCGAGGACCTATCCAACAGATAAGGTCCGACCAAGGCTCAAACTTTGTAGGAGCAAGGAACGAACTGGAAAAGGCCATGAAGGAGTTGGATAACGACAAGATCCAATCATATTTGACAACCAATCGCTGTGAATTCGTTATGAATGTCCCTTATTCCAGTCACAGGGGAGGAGTATGGGAAAGGCAGATTAGGACTACAAGAAGCATTCTTAACACCGTTCTCAACGATTACAAGGGAAGACTCGACACGTCCTCACTGCGCACCTTCTTGTACGAAGTTATGGCTATAATCAACAGCCGACCATTGACCTATCAATGCCTGAACGATCCAAAGAGTTTGGAGCCTCTAACGCCAAATCATCTACTCACCATGAAGAACAAGACACTTCTTCCACCTCCAGGAAATTTTGTCAAGGAAGAAATCTACGCCCGGAAACGATGGCGAAAGGTCCAGTTTCTGGCAGAACAATTTTGGAGTAGGTGGCGAAAGGAGTACCTCATCAATCTGAATTCAAGACAAAAATGGCTTCAGCCAAAGAGAAATCTGAAAATCGGTGACATCGTAATCGTTCAAGAAGAAGTTCCACGGAACGAGTGGCCCCTTGGCAAGATCACGGATACTTCAACAGATCAACAAGGTCACGTTCGTTCTGTGAAGATAAAGCTTGGATCCAGAAATCCTCAGAAGAAGGAAAACGACACAAATTCCCATATCATCGAAAGACCAGTGCAAAAGGTAGTCCTCCTGTTGGAAGGAGTGGTCTAAGACAAGTTCCAATAGCAATGCTTGATGTGCAGAGTAAAATTATTCATGATTGTTACGTCCCTTTTGAATCATAAATAATTTGGTGGGAGTGTAGCTACAGCAATTAGCCGCACGTTTAACTGACTTATTTTTTTATCCGAAATCTTTGTTTTCTGCACGCGCACGCTAACGCAATTTGTAGATTTAACGAGAAAGTTCTTTCTAACGCAAGCTAGGACGCACGCGAAAGCGCCACGCAATTTTGTTGTTAAAAGGTTAAGCTTTCTGTTTTTGCGGTTAGTTGACACAAGTTCTTGTCAATCCATTTCAAGAAGCCAAGAAGTTTTCCTTGTTCTAGTGATTTTAAGGACATCACCAAGGTAAATATTTGCGCTACATTTTCTTATTTAATTAAGCGCCTTGTAATTTTATCCTTTAAACCGATTTTATTTCTGATTGCATTGTAAAATCAAGTTTTTAGATTTTAGACGAAGTTAAGTTTACACACGACATCATTTACCGTTATTTGTCAATCTTAAGTTTTTACCTTTCCGTCTTGTTACTTTCACGGATGAAATGTATGTATTTCCGTAATTTCACAACCTTATTTGTAAAATACTCTTACCTTTATTTTAGTTCTCACGGTGTTTATGGAAGTAAGGTTAAGAAAAGAAATAAACATCAGTACGTGAACGAGTGTCATCTCATATCTTATCACTGGAGCAATACTTAGTCCTTTCGCGGTCAAGTCAATGTTTTGGTTGAGCCCTGAGCCAATCAGATTGCGTGAAATTACATATCTAGATCTGGTTGTGGCCCGGACTGTTTAGAGAATGAGAACTTTAAAATGGAAGTTGAACAGAAGAATTTTGTGACACATTTAACAATTACAGTACAATTGAATTATTGATTATCTAAAAACACGTCTGTTAGAATTTGGTCAAATAAGTTTTAAAAAGGTAATGATTACTTATAGTAAGTTGTGTGCAAGTTTAAACGAAAATCTAACGAGCGAATTTTATGTAAACTGAGCAAAAGTGAAATTTTAAGGTTGTATTCAATCGTCACATTTTACCTGTCAGTCAAAATCTTTCATCAGTATATTTTTCACTTGCCAAGTTTCAGCTTGCGAGATGCAACCTTTCTCTTGCCATGATTTGGCAAATGACATTTACTCACAAACTGACAAAACTGTGTTCAGCCACCTTAAGCTTTAGAATCCTGAATCCTGCTAACGATTAGAATCTGGAATCTGGAATCTAAGTTCCAGTGTCTAGGAATGCGGAATCCATTTTCTGGAATCCGGAATCCAAGACCGTTGGACTGTCTTGGGTTAATGGACATTGGGAAACCAGTCGCCATTCGCTCTAACAATCACCTTGACACCACCGTTATCCCCAACAACTGGATCTCAACCATCTCCCTATTGTCTTCCCTCGATTACAGCCCCTGATGCTAACGTTTTGCCTTGATTTTAAACGTTGTTAGAAAGCTTGTTTTTCCTGCTCTTACCAATTTAGGTTGTATAGCAGCACTTGGAATAGCTCTCGGAACAATCACTGATCGTCAAATAAGCGCGTCTTCAAAACTGGACAACACCCATTCTGCTGCACAAGCCAGGCTGCATTCCAAAGCAGTAGGAAGCAAATATGGAGCCTGGTCAGCACATGAAAATGATCATCATCAATGGCTTCAAATTGATTTTGAAAGCTCCACCAAAATTACACGGCTGGCCACTCAGGGAAGAAATGGCTTTAATGAATGGGTGACCAAGTATATGTTACAGTACAGTGATGATGGTGTACATTTTCATTCCTACAAGATGGTGGGAGTATCGAGGGCAAAGGTATCTCTCAGACCCCATTTCTAAGGAGAAAACATGTCCCGAGTGGGTATAGTGGCAGGGGCAGTGGCTACCCGAACTACCCTGGGTGAGCCAAGGTTTCCTACATTTTTTTACCAAACTTGGCGAACCGTCTACATGAGAAAAAAAAAAGTCGGCTAGGCTACAAATATGAGCCGCCTAGCTGGGTCAACCTGGTAGAGTGACCGTCCTGGCTGAGTTAACTTTTCTCCATTTAAACTCTTGTCCATCCGGGCCTACTCAGTTAAGGACAGACAATCAGAGCACAAGCGAGGGCTTTAGCGCTTGCTAGAGTTCACTCGTTGAGGGGATGACCCTCTTTCCCTGGACAACTTTTTCTTAAAATAGACGAGGCCTTACTAAGATTTGG